CCTTGCTAGGGGTGGTTCAGATTAACTTTTAGGAAAAAAAGTTATCACTGAAAGAGTAGAAAGGCATTGGAATAAACTGCCCAGGCAAGTATCTCAATGTGGCACTTCGTTTAGGGATAATTATGATGGTGCTGGGTTGGCTGATGGACTAGATGATCTTGAAGTTCTCTTCCAAATTTGATGATTCTGTGATTAAAGGAAAAGATGATGGGTCGGAGGAAGACACTTTTTTCAAGACTGTTAAGGAAAATTAAAATTTAATTAAGAGCTTTTTGAAAGTCCATGGAATCTAATGTGTGAAGAGCTTGTTCCAAGACTTTAAGATAATATATTTATCTTAGAAACTTCTTAACACTGGAGCTGTTAAGATTTTTGAAAGAAGAATCAGGTGATAAATATACAGGTTAAGTCACTTATCCACCTTTATATATATATATATATAAATATTTATATATTTCAAAGTTCTTTGCTGAAAAGAACTTTCCTGCTCTTTCCTGTCATGTGGCATACATTCTTTTGCTTTCTTGGGAATCACAGCCTACAACAGTCTTCATGATCTTAGCTAATATAATCTTGAAGTCTGTCACACTTGTTTCAACTGCCCCTCACTCATAGTAAAAGCAGCCTAGAGTGCTGGTCATTAAAGGCTTGGACACTTTCTTCAGACATTTAACTCGTGATAATTCATTGTGCCTCTGTTCACATTTATTCTTCTCACAATAATTTTTCTCAGCTCAAATACCTATTTTCCCATGGTTCTCCACCCAAATTTGATCTTATAGACAATGATCTTATTATGTCTAAATTTGTTTATTTGTCCTTTTCAAAGTCATGTTCCCAGCAGTCTTGGCCATCCCAAGAGACTTTCTTGAGTCTCCTGTGGGAATACCCATTTTGAGTTTGGCTGGTCAGAATAATTCTCACATTGGCCTCTATCCCAAAATTAATGCTAATTTCCCTGGCAGTATGTCATATGCATTCTACAGTTACATTTACACCAGCATTTTTCATAGCCAGATTGTGTATGGCTCATAAGCAACTTCCCTTTGACTAAACACTTGGACATTTATCCTTTTGTCACCTGCAACTGATGATCCCAGTATTTACAAAGGAAATTCTTGCAATACAGTTCTAAGTAGGTGCCTGCAGTATGGGACATTAGATTTGTCCTCATTTCTATTACTTGGACTAAATAATTACAATTTTCCTGCATAGAAATCATTCCTACTTTTTAATCTTCCAATCCAAGGTCCTATTAAACCTCATTAGTACACTACTACATTTTGTACCAAAATCATGGAGAACATTAAAGCTCACTCTTAAAACCCTGTCAGCACCCTGTGTGGATAAAGGAGAAGAATAGTCCCTCTTCACAATCAATTCAGAGCAGAAACTTATCTCTTATCTGAACCTCTCCTCAGGGAAGCCTTTTTTTTGGACTATAAAGACAGTATAATAAAAACAGTGAGTTAGCTTTTTGGAATACCTCTCTTGCTGTACCAAGCAAGTGACTAACATGTTTGATTTCTTCTCTTAAAAGTTTTCCTAGTAATTTAGGATGACTGATCTTAGGCTTGGATCTCAGGGCTTCTTTGGCATTACTTACACTGGGATTGTCAGCAAAAATTGAGGATGTGTTTTTGAATCAATACATTTCATGATGCCTTGAATTATATTTTTCTGTCTCTCCAAAATCTTTCTCATCTGTGCCATCATGTTTTGTGTATTATCATATCCATCTGAAAATTTATTATCCGAATTAGAGGGCCTCCATAATTTATTCAGAAAAGACAATTTATTTTTTCAAGACACAGATTGTAAATGCAATCATAAATCACAACATCAGAGCTCAATAAAAACATTGAAAGCTCTATTGCAAGACCAAGGACTCTATTTCCATGTAATCAGAAGAAAGTTCCTTAATTGCTGCAAAAAAAAATTGGGTTATAACTGAAATGAGAAAAATGACTTATGGATATTTTCCAGGCAGCTTACATTTATGAAATACACATTTTCAGGGGTCATTTGGTAGATAAAACTGAATTGAACCCAGGAATTTGGTGTTTGTGGCCAGAAAAAGAGAGGAATTAAAAACCGAGATTGTAATTTAGTAAAGGGCAGACCTTCTGAAATAACTATTGCATTTCTTATCAGTGTTTGTTTGAACTCTTAACAGAGAAAACTTCCAAGCCACAGTACTTAACAGCTGTTGCATTACATTATGTAATACATAATATACATATTATATATGTAATACATAATAAGCTGTTGAATACATTAGTATTCTAATGTACTAAATACTGTACTAAAGTACAGTATTTCCATAGTTACATTCTTTTACTATGCTATAGGTGTCTAAATATCTTGTGGCTTGGGGAGAATAAAGGCACTGCAATTTTATCACTAAACAAACAAGTATAAATCTAAAAGTTACAAAAATAAAATCTAAAAATGAAAAATATCAGAAAACTACACTGTTATACTTCTCATGTTACATATATTGCTATCATTAAACAAAATATGTCTAAGGTAGTAACAAGACTGTGTGTGCATAGTACATGAGTTGCCATCCTGATTTTCATTTCCACATGAAATTACTTGCACAGGGAGTAAGCATTTCCACTCTGTAAAGGACTACATGGAGACTAAGTAATATAGACCTAGACCTATTGTAACATACTGCACAAAAGTCAAAGATGAATTGCTTAAAGAAAAAACATCCTTCAAGAATAACAGCTTAGAATAAAATCCTAGCAGCACATGAAGCGAGAGAAGGAGTCAAGTTTAATTAAAAGTGATTTAGTGAAGTTTAAATGGGCTTCATTAGCCCAGCCAATTTAAGTGCACCCCCCACACACAAAGTACATATACAATAAACATCCTCAAATTAGCTGTGTTCAACATGAGGCTTCTTCCATCTGTATTAACCAAAGAAAATTTAAAGTAAGCATTTAATTATAAGAAAATAATGGAGTAGGAGTTAGAACAAGCCAAATGAGAAGCAGGGCAAGGAAAATCAATTTCTCATCAACTGCGGGGCAAATAACTTTAAATTAAGTCACACAGATTCCAATCAGTACCAAATGGAAACATGGTTCCTCTGTGCTACATTGCACCAAATCCATGATTGAGGAGACTTTGACTTTTGTTGGAAAATCTGTGAAATAAGAAGAAAATCTTAAGCAATTTGTAGTTTATTCCTAGAAAGAAGATAGAAGGGGCCTTTGGCATGACACTTGTAAGTGGCACCTAACTATAAGATAGCTAATGACCTGAGCAAAAATACAGCAACCTCAAAGACTAAGAACTATTTTAAATTCTTTGCACAGAAGCAAAAAAACTAATTGTGAAATGTTAGTTCAAAACAAGAAAGGATGTCATTACATTGCAGATAGCCTGAGCAAAGGGACAACGTGACACAAAAGGAACTGTGATGAGATTACAAAATGCATCAGAACTGTTTTGATTAATCTCCTGTCTGAGGAGTTTTAAGAAATAGACAGTATACAAGACTTCAATTAGAGGAATGACAAGCATATACTTCCAAACTTTTGCTTCTGTTGTTGCTTCTAGCAGCATATCCCCACTTTATCCAATGGTTTTGTCGCTGAAGGATTTTTACATGCTTAAATTATACTTCCTTGGGGACTGTGATTTGTGTTGAGTCTCCAGAACACTGCTTCTCAAAAAGCTACACACATCCCACTCTGACACTTTCCTTTTTTAGCTACAGCTCCTTCTGTTAGAAAATTCAAAATAGGTTTAGGTCTTGAGGAGACATGGTGTTTATTCAAAGATCACTTTGCAGTGGTGTTTTCTTCCCTATTTCTATTATGCCATTTCTTCTCTACCCAAGTTACTGTCATACCACTTTCCCCCCTACTCACATTTGGGAAGATTTTCTCACAAATTGGACATTTCAAGCATACGTCACTTTTGGTCTGCTGCTATTCTTGCTGAAGCCACATTGCTGTGGTACTTGGGACAGAATTGAAAGACTGCTGAGAAGGAAAGAACAATTTCCTGCTGTAGCCCCTATATATATATTCCTATCCTGTATGCCCCTATTGGGCATAGCTTTCAGGATTTCAGTACAGGGGTGGCAATTGTGACCTGTCTGGGAGGAGACCTTGAGCTGCCCCGTGCCAGTCACAGCCATTTCCAGCCATCTCTGACATCCCTGTGTCGCGTCAGCTGAGAAGGGTGGAGTCAAGGATACAGAAAAAAAAAATCCCATGTCCTGGTCTCTACATAGAGGAAGTCCATATGTGTGGCCCAGCTGCCAGCTGAGTTGCATTCAAAAACAACCCCAGTCTGCAAAATCAGACAGTAGCAAGTAATCAAGGATGAAATTTCAAGTAAGAATAAGCACAGAAGAGTTGATCAAGAATCACTTTCACCTAGATTTTCTATTTGACTGTCAGCATGCATAAAACCTAATGAAAGCATTAGTTTCAGTGCTGAGTATGAGTTTGCAGGTGTTTGAAAATCAATAGTTCTCAGGTTTGAACAAATGCTGTGAGTGCTGGAATATCAGCTTAGCGTTACTATGAGCAAACTCTTAGCAGAAAAAGAAGAAACCTCAGCAAGAAGGGTTTTGCTTCCACTGAAAACAGATGCATTTTTTTTTACCTCATGTTACCCATAATAAACCATAAAAAACACAGATTAAATCAATTTTCCAAACATTAGGAAGTGTAAAGCAAGCATAAGTCCCTCCTCTTCTACCTGCATTTCCTGTCATCATTAGGATATTTCCATGTAACAATGAGCACATTTTTATACACAGATGTGAAGAGGATGCCTTGTAACTTAGTGAAGACATCAGGTAAGCTCTAGGCCTTGCACAGCCACAGTGGGACTTGGTGAAAAGCAGCAGTGCAATGGGCTAAACAGGGTACCCTGACCTTCTCTGCTTGAAATAACACACAGACTGCTGCTGACATGAGCAGGAGGCAAGAGCAGGTAACAAGCCTTTTATCTCCTTTTGTTTTAATTAGCACACAGAAGCCAGCATGTCCAGGTTTCCAAACAAATGAGTATACTGATGCCCAACTTCAAGAGATTGTCAAAAAATTGCGTGAAAGGGCAAATGTGTATAAGGAAAAGCTGAATGACCCAGTGATATCTTCACCTGAAGCAAGTCCTCCAGTTTGTAAGTCCAGTTTGTATTCCTAAGCCTCTAGAAATAACTGTGCATTTGTTCAGCTTAAAACTGAAAATAATTTTGTGGTAACAAAATAATGTGTTAATTTTTTTTTTAATGTTTTTTTATCCACTGGACAGCATCCCTTTGTGCCCTATGAAGTCAAGTTGTTCCTATTTCTCTACAGTAAGCCAGAGTCCTTAGGTACAACCTCCCTTTGAATGATTTCACTGAAGAATTTGGGGAAAAACCTTATAGAGGCAGTATCTAGAATCATTTGTGTCAAGAAGTTTTCTGGATTTTGAAATAGCTCCCAGAGATGTTTATTCATGGAGATGAATCTGAAACATATGAAGAAACGTATATATATATCGTATGAGTGGATGTTAGTTACTTTGATAAGGGATCTTGTCTGTAAAGAAAGTAAATAAAATTTTAGCCTTGACAGAAATCTGGACACACTGAAGACTTTACGTTCATGCTTTAGGTAGAGCTAACTCATCTGACTCATCATTAATCATTCACTTTTGACAAAATATTAAACATAAATCAATTTTTCTCCTCTTCAGAGGAAAGTTTGACTTTCCTTTTCGTTTCCACAAAGATTTGAGTGTGGTGGTTTTATGTTCTGGCACTTTTTAGAAGCTGTTCATTGAACGTGTGTTTTTTAAAAAGCTCTAAAAATGGTGCCTGAAGAAAAATAAAATGTACCAACCGATAAACGATTTTTTTTTAAATTGTTTCTTTGCTGATCTACCTCATTTCCAGGGAAATTCAGTAATATAGATATTGCACTCTGTAACATAACTGCCCTTTTTATGAGAGCAGTTGCACATGTTTATACCAGTGGTGATTTTACTCTTCAAGTGTTTTTCTACGTATTTAATATAGTGAATTTAGCCACTGTCCAGTGTTTTTAGAAGATATTTTAACGTTATGAAGCTTTTGTTCATGTTAAAACAGGGTGTATTAATTGAGCCATTATTAAAATGCCAATATTTTTGGTAATCTCTGTGTCTAGCACCAAAGAAGGCTCCACCCCCACCAAAAGAAGAAAAAAAAGATGAAAAAAAAGAAGAAAAGAAAGAGGAGGCAGAAGCAAAGCCAGAGGAGGATCATTACTGTGATATGCTGTGCTGTAAATTCAAAAAACCTCCAATGAAAAAATACATGGAGTACATGAAGCTACCAGAAACCATTGACTCATACACAGGTACATTTAAAGCTGTGTAATAGAATGGGGTAAGGTCATATTGAAGTGACCTGGTATTGCATGGCACCTGTGAGCTGCCATAAGATACATATTCCAGTTTGCAACTCCCAGGAACACAAAGGTCCTGTCCTAAACAACATTTATTCCAAACAGGGATCATCAAACATGAGTTGCAAAGATGTTATTCACAAAGGTGTACTGCAAACTGACCAGAATTAGAAACCAAGTCTTTTATTTCTTGATGTGGAATTTGTACCATTCATTAGGGCCAAAAAGTTGTTTTGTCAGTTATAATACACATGAGCACCGTGCAAAGTGATCACATAAGTTTCTTCAGATGCACTGAATTCTATATGCTCTCATTTTTGCACATTCCTTCTGTGACTTCTGTTTCCAAGCTATGTCACTTTAGCTGCATTCCAGCTGCAAAAGGGAGAATGGGAGGTTGGTCCCATTCCTGGGAGACCCATTCTTCCCAGAGACTGCAGCAGAATGAATGTGTCTGTACAAATGACAATCGGCTCCAGGTTCACGCCTCGACACTCAATGCTTTTTTCTTTCAGATCGCCGTTACGTGGCGTGGCTCATGCTTGTGACAATTGCCTATAACTGGAACTGCTGGTTCATTCCCCTGCGCTATGTGTTCCCATACCAAACCCCCAGTAACACAATATATTGGCTTGTCATTGATGTGATGTGTGATATCTGCTACCTGTGCGACTTAATCATTTTCCAGCCCCGAGTGCGGTTTATCAGAGGGGGAGATATAATAGTAAGTATTGGAAGTGGGACTTCCATGGGCAGTAGTTGTGTGTTAGAGTATAGAAATTCATCCAATCTGACAATTCTTTTTTATCCCTATGTCAAATCTATGTAATTTTTTTTATTTATTAAAGGATACATATATTTTTCATCACTGACTTTCCATTCTACACTGACATTCCATTATCCCCTGTAGGAAGAAACATATCCATTATCTGAATTTTTAAAAATTGAAAAAAAAATATTTGAAAGTAACAGATGAGAGCAGCTGAAACAGGCATGCAGCTCTAAAATTCCTCACGGGAATCAGTGATCATATGTACTCATATATATATATATATATATATATATGTCTGTTTGTATGTTTGTGTAAAATTTTCACCTATTTGCCTTGTACCAGAATCACAACTGAAGACAGGGCATATTCTTCTAGGATTGGACAAGATATGTGTGCTTTGTAACAGATTGTGAGATGGTGGGGTTTAAAATCCCTGTAATTTTAGGGTATTTAGGATATTTAGGAAATAATTCATTTGAGATAATCTCTTTTGGGGAAATAAGTATCTTCACTTTTTATTCTTCCTACAATTTTTGTGTTATCTTTTTTATAGAAAAATGTAAAATAAAGTTTTAAACAAGAATCTGAAAGCTTGCCCTTAACCTATAAAAAGGGTATCTAGAACATTAACTTTTCTTTAAGTCTTTCCTGCTTTTGATTCTTTGACATCTTATAGAAAAAAGATAATAATTCAGAAAAAAAAAGTTTTGATATCTTCAGCATGACATTACTGTGCCCAACAGACAGAAAATTAAAAATTATATATCTTCAAATCTAATTTTGAACTAGCTTTAGTTCAGTGCTTTAACAAAAAAATTTATACATTGTACATACACGATATTACTGGTACCTTTACAGACCAAGCTGTGCAAATATCATTTCAATAGGTATTAAATGCAGTGCAGTGGAATGTATTTTTCCACACCAAGACATTCAGTAACTGGATCTTGCCTAAATCCCACAAAACTCAATTTTTATGAACAAAGTTAAATCTCTAACACACATAGATCAGCTAGTATTTCCCTTGAAGCTGTTTCTACAATTCACAGATTTTAGTGCACAGAAACCATTTCCTGCCTGATCTCCTGCATTTAGCTTAATGTTTAAACTGATAATAGTGAAAGTTGGAATGGAAATATGATTAAGAACTTAAAGCTATTTTTAAAGTTTTCCTGATATAAATACAGAAAGTATAATAATAGATTAATTTCTTTATATACTCGTGATTACCCTTTCTTATTATATTAGCATCAGTTCCCATGAAGAACAATTTAAAAATAAAAAGCTAATCATTACTAATGAATGCAGTGTTGATTATTCTAATGCTAGTAATGCCAGCATGTTAATGTTAGCATTCAAAGAGCTAATTTTGTACAGCACCATTAAAAACACTCTTTGAATTTTTTCTTGGAATCACTGCAGATAAATGCATTTTTTGCCATGAAATTGAAGGGGAGTTGGGTTGAGCATGAAGTAGTACAGATGTCTTGAGAGGGAAGTTTTGTGGAAAAAATGTAATGTGCTTTTCTAAACCAACATCCAGATTGGAAAAAATCAGACAAACCCCGAATCTCATTTTTTTTCAAGTAGTTCTAATAAAATCTGATCTAATGTAAGCTAGACTAATATTACTTCTCAGAAATATCTACAGATATTTCTCCATTCATGCTTTTAGGCCATCATTAATTTGTCATTGCCCCTACTATACTGTGGAGTAGCAGAGGCTCATCCTTGACATTCTGATCTTGACTATGCCTTTTTCTCCTTTCGCTATCACTGTAGTCAGACAGAGCAGAAACGGAAAAATTCTACCGGAGCACTGTGAAGTTTAGGGTAAGTAAATCCTGTGTTACTGATATCAATATGAAGTTCTGGCTCTACTATTTCACAGGACTTTTTTTTCAATCACTGAAAATCACTGTTGGTTTAAGAATATCACCAGAAAGCATTGGATCAATGGCATATCAGTGCTCACCAGCTGAAGACTGCCATCTTCATAAACAGTCTTTAAATGCAATTCTAAATATTATTTTGGAATTATAATAAATTAATAAAATAGAATTTGATTAGTTTTTGTGAAGTCATCCCAGCACACACTAAAGACAATAGCCCCATTTGCCAGAGATTCATTTAAAAAAGTTAAAACTCCTGAAGAGAGACGATAGCTCTATTCTGTAAACTCTTTTGAAGTACCTCATTGTACTGAACAGTTCATCACTCACAGGAGCAGTCAAAAATTCAGAGGTGCTCATGGCACTTTGTAAAAACAAAGATGTGTTTGATTTAGGAATATTGTTAATGTTGCTCCTAAATGTTTGGATTATTTTGCCAGTGGAAGATAGGTAGTTTTTTTAAATTCCTGATGAACGTAGAGCTCTGTGACACTAAGCACACATCTCAGTTATTGCCCTCTCCACTTTTGCACCTGCCTTCTTCTGAGTTAATTTTTTCTCAGTGACTGTGGTATCATTACTTAAATATTTGATATTAAGCTATGCAAAAGTGCAGGATATACACCATAGAGTCAAATGAGTTCGACAGAGTGAAACCTAAAGCAAGAGACTGAAATGGATTGGTATGGTTTTATTTTAAGTTCACACTCACTGTATGTTTAGGGCTCTTGATTTCTGGAGAAACTAATGGGAGTTGAGGGTCTAACCACATGCAAGATATAGATATAATGTGGGAATTTGTCATATGACTAAATACTAATTAGCAGTTACTGATATTAATGCACTTTAGACTAAATTTTCCCTCTTAGACATGTGTCTGAGAGCAGGGGAGAGAGAGACCATAAGAGTCTGTTTGTCTCAATCAATTTTTTGGTTTGCTTTGCAGACTGTTCAGGTATTAATTGCTCCTTACTTGCATAGAATAAAAGGTCAGTGCTGCAGGCTGGTTGCTGCCAACACGATTTTCACCCCTCATTGCAAAGGCATTTCAGATCACAGAGAGATGAAGCCCAGAGTTCCACATCCCTCTATTACTCCCAAGAAAAACAGCAACAAAGTAAGGCAACCCAGGATCTTTAAAAAGGAAAAGATAAATGTTCCACAGCTTTCCTACTTTATCTTAGGAAAGATTAAAGCTTGCAGATAAGAGTAATCACTTGGCTGATGGACTGCAGGGAGATGTTGGAAACCTTAGTGTAACGGGAGGAAGCAGCATACAAATATAATGGAAGAAAAAAATCTATTAAAAAAAAATTAAAAACCCAAATCAACCAAACAAACAAAAAAACCCAGCCAAATTTATCATCCTATGATGAATCTGATGTTTGGAACACATGCCTTCTGCAGGTTGCAAGCAAGAGATCTAACTCACTCTGGTCCCTCAAATTGCTTTAGGTAGCCTTGTTCTAAAAGCTGAAGGACTTTTAAGAAGTGCTTGTGTAGTGGCCTCCCCACCTCCACTCACCAGCCACATGCCAAACATTTTAGTCTGGTCAGAGCTACAACTGAAAACACAGAATGTAATATCAAATTATAATCAAATTATAATTATAAAAATAATAATCAAATATATAAGATACTGTTAATAATCCACACAAAACAGATTAAAATCTCAGGCACAGGGGACTCAAAAGCAGGGCGGAGCCAAGCTCTTGGTGTTTTCAAGGAGATAATCTTATATGCCAGTACTTAGGAAGCTACATGCTTAGCATGCTGACTCTTCAAATATTATTGCAGTCATGAATCAGTCTAAGCAGGTTTTTGACAGCAAATAAATACATTATGATTACTGTGAAGTTTAAATTGACCTCTCTGCTCTTCAACAGCTTGATGTGATATCAGTGATTCCATTTGACATTTTATACTTCTTCTTTGGATTTAATCCAGCACTCCGAGCAAACAGGATGCTAAAGGTAAGATCTGTGTTAGTGATGGATGGCTCACCATGCCTAGATGGTTTTGCAATACAACATGTTGTTTTCTAATATTTATGAATATGAAATTTAGAAACTGTAAATATCTTCAGACTGAGGTACAACATAACTAAATAATGAAACAAAAAATACCAGTCATAGTCTAGCCAAATTAAGCCCTAATTTTCTTATTTTTCTTCTGACTTTGTTATTTCCTAATTTCAATAAGTACTTTTTTGACTAAAGCTAGGTTTTTTCACATTATTTAAATTAGATTAATCTCAAATTACCTGCTTATTTTTCAAAGATTAAAAAAATACAAATTAATGCCAAAGTACTTTCCCCTTCTATTGTTTATGTCAGGTGTTTAAAAGCAAAGGAGGTAATTTAAAGGACAAAAATTATACACAGACTACCTATAAAGCACAAAGTTACTTTTGTTGTTGAGCCCAAAGACAGTTGGAGTTGTGTAATGAAAGGTCTGAGAAGGAATTAGAACACAGTACCTAGCAGGCCACTCCTGGTTAAATACATTTCTCTGCACACAATCAACATTGACAAAGAATTGATTTTCATTTAAAGCTGGAGGGGAACACAAGAACTCTGACAATAAAATGAAGATGTTCTTCACTTTGATATTCAGTAAAACTTCAAAATTCCTTCAATAATAACCAAAATAATATGAAAGAATGAAAAGTTAAATAGTACCTTGTATTAGAAACCAGCCGTGTACTGAACAAAAACAAATTAAAAAGCTACATTTGGTCACTAAACATCATCTGCAAATACAAAACAGGAAGAATTCGATACAGCTGCCATTGGTACCACAAAATATCCTCTAGTATGTGGCTATTGATACATATGATCGCTTACTGAAAATTACTGGAATTTCAGGAAGAGAAAAAATGCCTGCAATTCTTTGTGATCATGTTGCCCAAGCAATTATGTATGTTTGAGGAAGTAGAAGTTGTTCACCTGCAGTACTCTGACCAAAATAGCAAGGTTATTTCTGTAATCAGATTAAGGGGATACTCAACACCCAGAAAAACACTTGACTCAAATTTATCTTTGCTTTTCAGTTCACATTTTTGTTAAATGTTTTTCATGGTTTAGGAATAGCATTCTCCAATTTAGTACTCCAAATAAAACTGTATGCTGGTCCCTCTCCCCCTTCAACTAGAGGCACAAAAGGCAGTGATTTTAGCTTGAGATAAGAACAATTTACTGGAAACAAGGAGACAAGAAAATGAACACTTACAACAACATTGCTAATGACAGAGGGTATAAGAAAAGAAATTATTCACATGGAAAAACTCCCCAGTAATAAACAATACCAGACAGCTCCCTCTGCTAGATTTTCTCAACAGGAAGAAACACCTTTCTTCCCTGGAAGAGACAGCCCCTCTATCCCACTCCCAGCAATGCCCTGAGGTGGTATGGAATAACATCCAGTCCTAGCCATGCCCCTCCCAGCTGCTGCAAAAATTAACCCTGTCCTGGCCAGAACCAATATTTATAGAAAGTTTGATCACTGAAAAATCCATTTGCAAAATGTGCATGTGAATTGATGCCAGTACTATTATAAAAACAATGTGTACTGAAAAATAGTGATTGGATTACTTTCATTTGTTTTCCATTCAGCATAACACATTCTTTGAGTTTAATGATCGTTTGGAAGCTATTATGGAAAAAGCATACATCTACAGGTATGTGCTGATAAAACTCAAGTAGCATGCAAACCTTGGCACAGAATGCATTTCAAGTGACTTCATGAGTTGTCATTTAAGCATTGGGTGGAATATGATACAGCTTTAACTGTTCATTTTAAAGGGTTTTTTAAAATATCTGTCTTTATGGTAATCATTAAAGTAATATATATAAGGCCTCACTTATGTATGAAATCTAGCTCACTTCAGCTGGCCTAGTTCAGGCAAAATGTTCACCAAACAGAGGCTTCTGTAAAAATTTAATTGCTCAGAAGTTTCAGAAAGTTTCTTTGCTGAAAGAGCTAAAGGACTCTTTCTTTAGGTTGTTAATAGCTGTTCCAAATCCTCAGTAGCTGTTTATTTGTACGTAATAGGAGTTATGAGCCTGAGCCTGTGTCAACATTTTTCTTCAAACATGCTCTCCCCATGAACCTGGCATATACAGAAACTTGATCCTTCACTGCACTGACTACAGTTGGAAGGAGAATCAATTCCACACAGTTCTCAAATAGTGATTATAACTGTAGTCTGCCGAACTGTGTTCTCACCTTCTCCACTGACAGAAAGAATTTTGGATCCAGCTCAAGTAGACCATGGACATCACTATGGCAAGTTTCATAGGCCCCTCAGCTGTCCGTGATGCCGCTAAGATGCTATGAACCCATCTGCTTTGTCATCATCATCATTATTGTCAATGTCATTAGGCCTAGTTTATCTTGGGTAATACCTACACCAACAGATCCTTTTCCCTGTCCCAGTTTTGGGGCATATATTGTTCTGGTCTGCTGGTGCTGCAGAAATATATTGGTTACCATCTTACCCTATTTCAGAGATTATTGCACTTAAACAGTACACTTGATATTAATACATTCAAATGAGACATTTTATGAGATTTTAAAACAAGATAAATTTCAAAAAGAGGTTCAAATCTCTTTCATTTTTTTTCATGTACCTGTGAAATAAAGCAAAACTTAAAAGTTTGAAAATTCTACTAAAATATTTTTGAGATGCTGACCTTCACAAAACTTATTCTTATATTGCCCTCTCTTTTCACTCATGGAAGATTCCTTTTTGGTTTGATTTGGATTTTCTGTTTTGTTGTAATTTTTTTTTTATTTTTTTTATTTTTCAATTCTTTTTGTTCAAGAGAGGAGTGAATTTTGACAAAATGAAGAAATTTCTTGTCAGTTTCTGAATCTCTCCCTTCTCCAGTTTCTAATTTCATTTTAAAAAATGGGGCTTCATCTGTTTATCATGTTTAACTTTTTCTACTATTGATGAGATTTAAAATTAATTGTTTTAAAATTAATTATTTTCCATATTATATCCTTTGCTTTTTGGATTCATAATTCAATTATTTTTCTGTATCTCCTATAATACTTGCTGTGAGTATTGGGAGATACAGTGTATATATAATATAGATAGTATAGAATAATATAGACCATTCTGAATCAAGTAGTTTGTATGTAACAATACTGCTGTGTGTATGTGGATTTCAAAGAAACGGGAACAAATTTAAAACTCATTTTCACCCAAATAAAGTTTTCCAAGGGACAGAATTTCCTACTATTATCAAGATATGGAATGGGAGATGAATGTCCAAAGGATAAGTTGTGAAGGGGATGTGTATTCCTTCAAGCTAGAGCAACTTTGAAGGATATGATGTTCATTTACATGTCAAAAAACAGGAAAGGTGCTCATTCAGAAAGGCTAAGACACACAGAGCAAGATCTCACTGGTCCTGTAAAATGTATGCAGTGGAAAGACAGAGCCAGATACTCTGCCCTGCCAGAGAGTTTTTACCATGATATTGGTTAACAACCACCACTGTGTGTTGTTGCTTGTGTCTTTGCTTCCTGGTCAAAGGCCCACTCATATTTCCAATATTAAATCACTTGCAGAATGTAAACTTCAGAATTTAAATATTACAAAGTGAATCTATTTTCTAATTCACACTTCAGAAAGCACTGACTCCTGGTTTTGCTCATTGACAAATGGAGAACAGAGGTAGTTATACAGAAGGGTAATGGAGGAGCTAAAAAATCTTAAAAACCTCAGTCTTCTTGTGCAAACTACTGCACTTTATTTTAATGTGGCAATCTTGCTTTGGTCTGAGATTGGTATAGCCACACCTTCAGCAATAAGGCACCAATTAACTAGATCATATCAAACTAAGCTTCTACACAGCAATTACACAAAAGTGGGGTGGATTTTCTTCTCAAATTTATTAGTTTGAGTTTGTATGAATAGAACTAGCATGAGTTACTTACATCTTCTCATTGTGATATATTCAACATATGTCTGGAGAAATATAACAAAGCAAAGGTTTTCTGAATCTTCACTCAGACCTCAGGAGTCCATTTTCATGGATTCAAACTTGAACAGAAGACCTAGCATGGGCAATATTGCAACATTACTAGGTTTCAACAGCTCTTTGCTGTTGTCTATAGCTTGCAATACTAAACAGAGCTGTCCTGGAAGCACACCAACTTTTAAACAGAGAAATAGCGTTCATTTGTGGGCATCATTAAGAAGAAGAGTACATTTAGGTAGATTTATCTAATGACATTGAGAGGCCAACAAAGGCGTACAAAGGCACCTGAAGAAGCAGCAAAGGAGTGCTTAATGAAGTAACCACAGAGATATTAGCTCCCTTTAACTTTGTTTATAGACCAAACTTAGTTAGATCTTATTAAATTCCCATAAAACCACTTTCTCAGTTATTCTGCACTGCATACTGCATTGAATTCTAGCTGTAGCAGATAAACTCATTAACTACCAGCCTGTGTTTAGGCAAGTCCTGCACTTTTCCTGCTTATTTATCTCGTGCTTGCATGAATATTTCAATAGAGATCTAAATCCAAGAGATCTTTCTTTTGATCCCCATGCACTGAACAGAGGATATACAATGAGATCATTATTGTATTAAATAGAAAGCTGCTTGGTGCTTAAATAGTTCATCATTGGTATTCTTCAAAGAATTGGCCATAAGCATAAGAACTGGGATTAGGAATGATATAACTCCTGCTGTAGCAACTAAATCATACTATTTAGAGGGTCTACTGCAGGTTTATACTCTAGGTCTTGTAAAGCAGTTCATTTCTGACCTCAGACATTTCTTGGCTTTGGTTCACAAGTTTAGAGCCTATCTTGGATAGAATTTGAGAAGCACATTATTTTTTACCCTGTATCCTCATTAATATAGCTTCAAATTTCTGGAAATATTCATAGGCATTTAAAGAAGTGGATTATAAACTCCTCAAGGAACCATAATTTAAATATTACCCCTTGTCAAATAGGCTAGTGAAGATATTTATTTGACCTTGGACAGAAGTGAGAGATGGGAAACTGCCAGCTATTTTTTCATAAAATCAATACAGGTGGGGAACTACTTAGTGTGTGCTTAACATTAACACTGCTAATCCAAAAAAGTAATGGTTCTATATTTTTTTAAAAAGGAAAAATTTAAGTTGTTTAACAGGAATCTGTTGACTTTTATAGGGTCATTCGAACAACTGGATACTTGCTGTTTATCTTGCACATTAATGCATGCCTGTATTATTGGGCTTCAGACTATGAAGGAATTGGCAGCACTAGATGGGTCTATGATGGCGAAGGAAACATGTAAGTATTTTTCTTTTGCAAGAGATTTTTTTTTTTATTTTGCTCATTCCTGCCTCCCCATCCTTCTCCCATGCCACTACTTGCAGGGTACGCCCTTACTTTTTAAGTGCTTGAATAGCAAAGTTTTATCATCATGACTGCTGATCAGCAGCTTTCAATACTAACATATATTTGGAGGGCAGGTGCAGTGAATAATCAGTTCACCACTTCCAGCTTTTATAGGTTTATGAGTCAGTGCTAAGTGCTAACTTAATTAAACATTTAGAAAGCAACAAGGGTCATAAATTAAACTTGCTGGTTGTATATGCATATGGGAACTGTTAAAAGGATTGTATAGCAATCCCTCACAGGAAATGCAGGGAGAATTTGGGAGATTTTTGCTGCCACACAGCACCATGTCATTAAAAGTGCAACATTTTAGTCCCTCTACACCATGGTGATTGGTCTGAAAAAATTCCACCAGCTCTCTCTGATCTTTTGAGAAGGTCATGCTTAAACATGTATCAGAGTGTCTTCAGGTGAAATAACTGGATTTTAGCACAATTTTCCACAAACTCCTTGTGACATCACTGGTCAGATGCCAGGTAAGGACCATTTACTAAGATGATGAAGTAAGATAAAAAAGCAAAGTCATAATATATTCTGTGTGTAGTTTTGTAAAGATATATCTAGTAGGTTCAGCTGTATGAAAATTTATTTCTTTCAAAGGCCGTAATATAGTTAAAGCCATAGAAACTCAATTTGCTCTTTGATTACATTCCTTGCAAAAACACATATAGTATCTTACTCTGTCATAAATTGCCTTCTAAACCACTTTTCACCTTTCTCTTGGAGATGTGCTCCTCTTGTTTGTAGTTTTGTCAAACTTCACAAGTTTGGTGTCAAGTCACTACCTTGAAGGATAAGAAAATAGCCTTTGAGAGTTTACACTTTGTGCAAACCAGCACTGATATTTTATAAGTATGGTTATCTCTTGAAAGAAAGACATGTCAGAAGTTTCCACACACCATTAAAATACACACCTTGAGTACTGCAGTCAGACATGTGCAAGCAGGGTCATGGTGCTTAGTGGACCACTAATGTAAGTAAAGTTATAGATGGGTGTTCATTTGCAGGATTGAGGTTTCCAGAAATCTGACAAGAAAAATGCAGAAGCAATTTCCATTATAGCTATTTTCTGTTAATGTGATTCTTGGAAATACTTGCCTCATACCCCAAAAAAATAAGGTACATAAGAACAAGAAACCTGAAAACACTGAAACTAGAGAGTTTAGTCAGTGTTCAGAACAAGCAAGAAAAAATTACCTGCTTTTCACAGAGAAAAATATTTCACACTTTTCTCAGAAAAACAATTGGTAGAAATTTACTGGCTTTACCACAGACAATGCAGTTGTGCCCTAGCAGTGGCCAGGATTTTCAATATTTTGTGATACCTTTCCATGAGGAGACAAGAAAATGTTCTCAAATGAAGTCACACTGCAATCACATGGAATGTAGAGAAGATTTGTTTTATAAACATGATAATAAAATGATAATTCAAGTTCTGCATTAAACTGAGATTCTTAAATAAAATGCATGTTTCGATATCCAAATAGCCAAATACAAGAAAAACATTATCTGTTGGAATGAGTCCAGAGAAGGCCGCTAAGTTAATCACAGGGCTGGAGAACCTTTCCTGCCTACCTTGGGATCATACAGCCCAAAGTGAAGGCACTGAGGAGAACTTCTAGCACCTTCCAGTACCTAAAGGGGGGCCTACAAGAAGGCAGCACAGGGAATTTTTACAAGGGCATGCAGAGATAGAACAAGGGGGAATGGCTTTAAACTGAAAAAGGACACCTTTAAATCAGATATTAGGAAGAAATTCCTTACTATAAGGGTGGTAAGGCACTGTAACAGGTTGCCCAGAGAGACGGTGAAGACTCACAATCCATGAAAGTGTTCAAGGCCAGGCTGGATGGGGCTCTGAGCAATCTGGTCTAGTGGAAGGTGTCCCTCCCCATTGTAGGGGTGGTGGAACTGAATAATCTTTAAGGTCCCTACCAACCCAAACCATTCAATGGTTCTATGATATATCCATCTAAACCTCATTAAGCCATTAATCCACTTCATCCTGACAATTTTTTAGTGAGTGTATGACTTTATTCTTTTGCCTGTATCTAATTCATACTGGAATATATAGTGCCGTGAATATGGAACCCCAAAGAGTATTCTGCAACGAGCTGCATTTCATAAAGTACAGCTTTGAATCCCACTAACAGCAAATGCTGACTGTGTGGAACACTCATTGCCTATGAGAATTAGGCATGACAAATGTTTGAGCATTTTTTCACACAGAGAGGCATCGTGTGAACATTAGTTATAACTGGAGGTGTAAGTGAATTTAAACTTATCAGACAACACACTTCTAGGTATATTGACTCATTAAGAAAGCAGATATAAGAACAATTGATCAGGAAAGGTGGCTAGTGCTGCAGCATATATTATGGCACAGCAGTGAACTTACAATTTGCTTTCACAGAGCATTCAGGGTTGATTATATTTGAAGAAAAATCTGCCAGTAGTCTCACAAAGAATGGAAACATATTCAGAAGGAAGATTAGGGAAACATAGATACTTAGCTAATTTTAAAAAATGACTGTAAGCAGCTTGACAAGTAAACCAAAATTCTATCTGTCTCAGATTACACTGACCCACAGAAAATGATCTGTCACTGATTTAGTGGCGTTATGTATTATTAATGCTTTATGTAGAATCCCTACTGTGTCCATAAAAGATTGCTAGTTATGGCCAAAACCAGTTCTTAGGAATGTCAGCACTCCTAGTTATTTTTTTTTTTTAATTCTCAGGCTAAAAAGAATTAACAGACAGCAGTTTCCACTACAAGTTTGATTACATACATGCTCCTGAGCAGGCACACTAGCTGGTGAACTAAATCTATAGCTAACAGCTATACACAACACTCAAATCACAAGCAAAATTATCAAAATAGATCTTCTGCAAATTTCTGCAAGCTCTATTCTTTTCTGGCTCTTGTCCAGACTCTAAAGTGTTAGTGTCAGTCTATGATTTGAGCTCTTTTGTACAGCAGCCTTCAGTCAAAGCCTTTGACTTGAGATGTAAAAGGCAGTCAACTTTACCTCCCTGCAACACACCCAAATTAGCCACACACAGTGTTTCCAGCATTAAAAGTGCACTCATGAGCTTGGGTTAGGTAAGACCTCAGTCTCTCCTGATGCAGAAGCACAGCATCACTAATGCAACACCAGAGTGTAGAGTTTATGCAGGGACAGATATTGAAAAGGTTTCCTAAGTGGACAGTTTCAACTATATGTGTTTATTTACAATCTAATTTAACTACCTAAGTAAAAGATCAATCTCCCTAATTACTGAGGAAAGTGGACAAATCTTTTTTCAGGGATTCAGAGTAATGTCATTGCTCTGAATTGTTCCAAAGAAGTATCTCTTTCATCACTGCTCACAGAGAAACTAAAACTAGGGAGCTGATATTCTCATGCAAACCCTCCAGGTCAGCAGTAAATTTAGGCAAAACTAATAATTTCATTTTGCTCATGGTGTGTTTCTGCTGTTTACAAGTCATCCACAGGCAGTCTGCAAAATTATTTGGCAAATTTAAGACATCTATTTGCATCCCAATTATGTTTCTCTGTAGTCTGCCTTCCTGTTCTGGGCACAGACTTAGTGGATATCTGCAAGACCCAGAAAATGGTCCCTGTACGTGTCTAGAACAAATCAACTCCTTTGGTATGCATTGCCCAATGCACAGTGAGACTGGCAAATCTTGAAATGTGTCCCATGGGTATCAGCTGTGCATTGCTCTTGCAATAGGTCTGATGTGTCAAGCAGTGCTTGCTATGCAAAGACAGTTTTGTGCCTCCAGACAAGCTGTGAATGCACAGCCCAACTCATATGTCAGACTTTCAGACCTGCTACCCACAGCCATAGTTTTTAGAGTAAAAGTTTTATCGTTTGCTCCACTGTGTCTGAGATCATCAGACCCACAGGCACCTGATGAACACGTCACTCTAGAGGAGGTACCAAGAAGAAAGTCAGTAGTTTAGAAGGACTGCAGCTTTACTCTGCTTAAACCCATCCTGGCTGTAAACTAAGAGTCAAAAGTGATAGTCCTGAAACCATGCTTCCCTGAGCTGAAATGAATATGTAAATACCACCTTAAGAGCTGAGAGACACATGCACAAAGACTTGATTTACCTGCACTAACCAAAACCATTAAAGATTAGCGTATTCTGAAGTGGACTTTCCTGCAAAAAATATTTCTACTGATGTAATATTACATCTTATTTGCATTCTAAATGTTTTCATACTTAGGATTTTTTTTTTAAGGAAAAATCTAGTAGTTTGATTGCCTGAAGGATAAACATACTCTCATGATGTGCAGAGGCAAAAATCCCTTTCTTGTTTCATGACTGTTGTTTACTTTAACAGTAATTTTATAGCAGGCTGGTAAACTGTATAGTGAACAGTGATAGTTTCCAGACACATGCTGGTAAGAAGCAGAGCTGCTAATACTTTTGAAATACAAGTTCTTTTTTCCTGGCTTTCCTTAAACATAATTTACAATCTCATTTCCCCCCTTCTTAGGGAAGAAGAAAGCTGCTCTGTATTTCAACTGTGAAACTTTCATTTCAGATTAAAATAAAAACAAAAATGCATAAATGGAGAAAACCTGTTCCAAGGAGATAGAGAACATCATGTGCCTTGCCAATAGAAAGTTTCTTTTGAAGTATGAAAGTATGAAGTTTGAAATCACAGTATATTAACTAAAACTTAAAAATGGTAGGAAGAGATTAAAAAAAAAACCAAAAAAACTCACATTTTGGACATACAACACTGCAAAGAAGAATGTGACCCCTAAATTCCTCTGAGGAGCTGCTTTCATTCTTTGTAGACATTCCCAGAATAAAGATTATAATGTCTATTATGGTGGAGTTTACAGACTTGGCACACAGAGCCATTGGGGGTGAGGGAGTCACTTAATTACTTTTTGTTTCCTAAAGTAAGTATCACAAAAGTAATGTTAATTTCTTTACTTTTATATTACCCAATTATACATGTTTCAAGCACCACAGCATTCTCAGTTATGGCAAATCAATATGATATCATGATATTAATATGCTTTACATAATTCCCCTCAGCCAAGCTAAAAGCATCCTTTAATGCTTAAATCTGTAATTCTTCCAAAACAGACCTGAATCCTTTTCATATTATTTGTTTATGCTACAGAAGTCTAAGTAAAAGCTGCCACTTATGCATACTTTTCTGGAAACATGCATATGTGATTTTTTTTATCCCAAGTGAAAATATTATTGTGGCATAATACAGCAGTTCATTTTGCATCCCTAACAAGGAAAAATGATAAGATGGAAAACGTGCAATGAATTTTTTATTTAAGGACTCTGAATGAAAATGGCCAGTTCTGATTGTTAACATCTAAAACTAGAAAACTATCGGAAAGTGATCATTGCATTTTATTAATCTGAAACCAAGAAAAAAGGGACTTTGTAATGAAAAGTAGATATCAATTGCTTGGTAAAGCCTTACATTTTGGGTGAAAACCTGAAAACACTTTCAAATGATTTAAGAAAAAACAAACCTCTGGAATTGGTTGTTTTTGTGAGTTTATTTTCTCATATTTGCACAAAACCGACCCTCCAGTTGTATTATTACGTGAACCTCTTATTAGAGCGGAGTTCACATCTTAAAAAGAGAGGAGTCTGAAATACCTAAGGTCTGCAAGCAGACCAGGTGGCCTCAGGTTCAGAGCAGGCATGAGAAGACTCATGCAAGACTTTCTACTTCAAAACAAACTTCTCTCCAAAAATATTTCTTCTGTGTCTTATGTTTGGGGGCAGGGGTTGTTTGGGGTTTTTTTAATTATTATTTAAAATGCAACAAAATTCAACACACATAAGGAATAATCATTGCTTCAGAAGCAGTAGTCACAGCTGAAGTAATAGAAAATCCCACTTTATAATTAAGGGAGATGAAGTTCCACTCCCAGTCTTCAGCAAAGCTGAAGTCTGACTGTATAGAAATTTAGGAAGTCACATTGTAATTAATAGCAGGCTTTTAAAAATATACCTAAACCAATTACTTGTTTGCTCAGAAAAGAAGGAAATTATAGCATTTTCACAACAATGATTTGAACTACTTATTCCCCACCACAATGCTGCATTGCTTGTGGTACCATGTCCTAGAATGAAAATTAAACCAGAATTTTTGAGATGCCAAGGTACTTATTTAAAAGCATTCTGTTCAGGTTCTTTATTGCTTTCATGAGCTTGTGTTATCATACTAGTAGAAATACACTACTTGAACACAAAAGGCTCTGTAGTGAAAAAGGCAAGAAAGAGCTTGTTAAGGTGACAGAAGGAGTTGTGGAGACTAGCAGCTATGAGATGTTAATAGAGGAGTCAACCTTTCAGTGCTGAATTAGTCAAGAGGTTTGGAGAAATTGGATTAACACACAGCTTGTGGAAATATGTCACTTTTTTGACATAACCCAGTACAGCCAATGAAGGATGCTCAGAAGCAGAGTGGGGGAAAGACCGGCACAGCAAAAGGAATAAAAGTGAACAAAAGAAGAACAATATTACATTTTTCATTCCCACTATAAGGCTTTGCACTGGTGTCATCAAATGAAAGCCATGAAGAGGACCTTCAAGTGTTTGAGCATCTATTATGCTGCTACAGAGAGACTCTGGAAAGCCTCTAACAATTTTTACACTGCTTTTGACCATCTTCACTGGTAGTATTCTAACATGGTAATGTCCATCTTGGCAATTTTGTACACAAGCCTTCTTTAATGCTACCTAGAGCTACTAGAGAATAGTAAATTGGAGCTGCATTTCCCATACTTTCTTATTTTGCTATCCATGAGAACACTCAGCTCAACTTGACCAATGTAACTTTGAATTTAACTATAACTATATGAATTTATCAATTCATAAACTTCTCATAACCATTTATAAAATGCTGAAAGTCTTTTGGACTGAAAAGCATCACTGAAAGGCCCAGTTCAGGTAGGCTTAACTTCAAACCTATAAGAAGCTGCATTCTAACAAAAATGCTGTTTGTATTCACAGGTACCTGAGGTGTTACTACTGGGCAGTTCGTAGTTTAATCACCATCGGTGGCCTTGCAGAACCACAAACACTGTTTGAGATAGTGTTTCAACTGCTGAATTATTTCATGGGTGTCTTTGTCTTCTCCAGCTTAATTGGCCAGGTACATAAAAAAATCAATAACAAGTTATATTCAAATTACTGTAATGTAGTGGTGATATATTCAATTTAATGGAGTTTAGTTCTAGGAAAAAGTTTAGTTTCTGTCCTTTATTTCAATGTCAAATATACTTATTTTTCTGATAAATACACATATTTAATCAGTTCCCTGTCTTGCAGCTCTTTTGCACACAAGCTGTTTAAAAGCCAAGACTGTGCAGGACATAGATGACTTTTGAAACTATGTATAGTTCCTTTTTTTTCCTTAGTCACAGCAAGGAGACAAATCCTCCACATCACATTATACTGTTAAATCTGAAATAAAAATTGTAACTGTTGAATAAGTCATGCTTAGTACTACTACCAATAGGATTCTGTTAATGGAAATCCCATTATTTTTGTCAAACTAGAACTGATCTCTTCTCACAAATTACAATATATTTGTCAATCTGAAAACTGGTTTCTATTTATCTTGGTTCCCATTTGGCAGGAGGGAAAAAAAAAGCCCATAGCACAGCAAATAAGTTATATTTCCAAATGAATATTATTTAAATATTTCTAGTTTGTAACTATTAAACTGGGCTTTAGATCACAGGTTTTAAAACACATTGCCTACAGAAAAACAAATTCTGAGGTTTCTGAGTGAGGCTGTGCCTTATCAATTTCTGTAGAAACCATTCCAGACTTTTTGATTTGTCCATGCCTGTTATAAAATAAATTATTTAAAAAAAAAAGAAACAAAATGAAAACTGAAATTTAATTCTTATTTTGAATACAGCATTTGAAAAGTTCAATCAAGCAGTTAGATATTGCATATGTCTCTTGCTCTTTGGAACTGCAAGAAGGGGCAACCATCACTAGACTCTTCCTGATAGGATTTAAAATTCCTCCACAATCCAGAATTACCAAAAATAAAACAAAGCATACATATAAAGTATTTCTTCTGGAAAACTATTCAAGTCAAGTATATATAATTAAACTTCAGAGTTCGTGTATTTATAATTTTTGCCTAAATTTTATGACTATCAAAGAAAGCCTCATTTCCCCAAGAAGATTCTGCAGATTGCTTTTTGTAACCAGCGTAGTCATTTGCAGTCTCAAACTTTAAACCTTAGCACACAAACTGCTTCACTGCATTTTGTTTGTTATAACTCCTGTTTACAAAGAACCCTTAAAATTACTGAGTTATTCCCACTTCAGCACACCTGCCTAAAGATTGTTATTCCCATTGCAATCAATTACAACTCTGTAATAAAGAGCAAAATTCAGCCCATGGCACATTAATCCGGGAAGGTGCCATATGAAGCCATTTCACTAAAATCACATTTGAATACTTACTCTTTTGAAGAAGCAATATCTCTGAACATTAACTCATCCACTTCCTAAAGAACTGAATCACATTTGAGTAGAAATGTTAAATGATGTTCCTGTGCTAACAGCTTTAAGGTCACCTTTCAGCTCTCAGAGGTTAGAACTGATCTCTTAACTACTTAAAAAGTGGCACAATCTTCGTTCTAGTGGTGTCAGATGATGTAATTACTGAAATTCAGCCCTGTTTGCTTCACTTCTGATTTTCATTGTGTGCCAAATGCAGAGTAGCCTTACTATGGATTTTTAAGAAAAGCAGTATTTATAATTTTCATCCATGTCCAGAAATACAAGAGAGAAGAATAAGGTAAAACCCAGAAACAATTCCTCTAAAATCATGTTACACTTTCCAAGACAATCAGATTAAAACTGCAATGTTTCTGAAAAAGCAGATGAAACACCTATTTAAAACATGCAGCCAAATGCATAATTTGTCCATGATTTTGCAAAAAGTATTTCATTATTTTTATATGTTGCTGACAAGATACTAAAATCAAGACTATTTTTTTCTGAAATGTGTAGTAACAACAGTTGATGTTTGCAGATGAGAGACGTAATCGGAGCAGCAACAGCAGGGCAGAACTACTTTCGGTCCTGTGTGGACAACACTGTCTCCTATATGAACACTTACTCTATTCCAAAATTGGTGCAAAATCGTGTTCGAACTTGGTATGAATACACATGGGACTCTCAAGGAATGCTGGGTGAGGATTTTCAGTTCCAGTTACTTAGCATGTCTGCGTGAGAGTGGTTGTAGAAATACAGATAGAGGGTGAAATTCACATTTCTCCTTTTCTGAATTGCATGTGGGAAGTGAGAGGAGGCTGCTCAACTTACTTTGGAAAAGAAAGACACTACAAAGCAATATGATTCTTACTACTTTACAAATTATATTCATTAATATTTTTGTTTTTATATGTATAATGTTTTGATAATAATTTTAGACAAGATTTATTAAGCACCTTAGTAAAAGCATATTAGCTGATTCCTCACTTGAACTCGTAAGTGTTAGAATAACTTCATTAAGTTATTTATACTAATTTTTGTGGACATTCTCTAAATTGTCTTTTTTTTTTTCTTTTTTTCAGATGAATCAGAATTATTGGAGCAGATGCCAACCAAAATGCAATTAGCTGTTGCAATTGATGTGAACTTTGCCATTGTCAACAAAGTGGACTTATTCAAAGCAAGTAGTTTCACAGGAGAATGCAGAAATATGTGGTATTCCATACAGAAACCTTGTTCTGTGCATCTTGCACTTAAGTGCATGTTTTTTTAGTATGGAAGGCAAAACAAGTCAAAGAAATGTCTCAGTGAATGAAGACATCAAAACAAACCCAAGTGCCTGCATTTGGACTTTTTTTTGTGTCAAGGCAGTTATCTTTAAAGAAAGCAAATGAGATTAAAACCAAGTCCTGTTATGACGATATCCTGTAGCTGATGGTATGGTCAGACTATGAGTGACTTCAGAGTATAACTAATCTCAAGGGTCAGACAGAGAATAATCTAATTTCTGACACAGTCCACTCTGCTGTAGCCACGCAGGTCTGCCTGAGAGATCACCCATGCTATGTGTTCTGGCAATGTAACATTGGTGTAGAGAAAGCTGCATCATTTTTTTTGTGCAAAGGAGCTTTCCCTTTACTCGCCCTGGTAGTTTTACAGAGCTACAATTTCAATGTGTACTTAAAATTAGATTTCTGGAACAAAAGCAAGGAGACCCTGAGTTTTTAGAAGTACTCACAGAAAATCTTCTTGTTAGGATATTTGCAAGAAATCACATGATATACCTGTATAAAAATTACCTGGCTGTACATTTTCTTCTACATGTGCTGAAGACATGAAATTACAGATTCCTATGAGAATTTGACAGGATCTGTTGTTTTTGCCTTGATCAGTTAAAAAAAAAATCCATAAAAGACAGATAAAGCTCTGAACATAACACTAACTGAGCTTCCTCAGAAAATCTAGATCTACAGAAACTCACTTTATAAAAAAATGAAAATATGTTTAACCCACAGAGGACTTCATAAGTATTTGAAATAACAACTCTTTCAGTCCTTTCTTAGCTTAAATAGCTGATCTTTACGATGTTTTGAGTTTGCATTCCACTTATGGAATTCCCGGGTCATTCCTGTATTGTTGGATTTTGAGGCACTAATAATCACTTTTAATACTGAATTAGCAGAGTGATCAACTTTATTTTTACAGGGCTGTGATACCCAGATGATATATGACATGCTGCTAAGGTTGAAATCCATTGTATATTTACCTGGTGACTTTGTCTGCAAAAAGGTGAGCATTCTTGTCTTATTCAAATAAGAATTATATTATGTATTTTAGAAAAAGAGTTCAAATATTGGTCAATAATGTCCTTTAAATAAAATTAATCCTGACTGAATTAGAAACATAAAAGTAATTAAGCTACTCTGTGGAATAACAACAAATATGCTCTCAAATTTCAATCTAGAACAAGGCAATATGGATTTTATTACTTATATTACCAACCATGAAATTATAGTAATATGGGAAAGTATTTAATGTAAATATGGCTTATCTAATGATACCTCATGCAATTTTAATACTTAAAATGGATCAAACCTAATGTTTCTATATTTCTACACATACAAACCCAGGCTACAGATCTCAGTCTATCATGCTTTGTCTGTGCTTCATTTGTGTACTTAGACACGCTTAGGCAGAATTATCTAAGAATGTAGAAAATACACTGCATCCCATAAAGCTCTTTCCACCAGGAACTGGAACCTTCACTCACAGCTCTGAGCCATCTCCAGGTTTCCAGCTGAATGCTGTCACACTGCCTCAGCAAAGATGTCTATCTCATCACAGCATTTTGGCTTAAACCTGGCCAGACAAGTAGTTCACAGGTAAATAGCTCAGCTCCTGACCAGTGAGCCCAAGTCTCTTTCCAGAAGGCATGTAAACACAGGACAAAGTTACAATTAAAGCTTGGAGAGATGAATAGTAATTTATACTACTACTGTTCTGGCAAGAGATCCACAGGTCCCACCACTGACACAAGTGACCATCAGAACCCCTTAACTTGTCTTTAGCAGTCCTGGTCCAACATGTTCACTAAGGTCCTGCTCCCTCCAAGGGTTAAGCATACAATCCTCCTCCAGAGAGCTGGGCTAGCTCCACTGACTCCACTGTGCAGAAGTTAAACATTTGTGTATACACCAAAGAATCAAGAGTGTCCCTTCAAAACCAATCCCAAAATTGCTGTTGGCTAAGAAGGGTAGAAGAGTAGTTTGGTGTGTTTGCTTATACAATACACAGCATGAAGGGATCTTAGACTAAAGCTGTGACTCTAACACAACAGAGAAAGAACAGCAAGATTTAATGTCCTGACACTGCAGTCTGAAGCAAACAGGTATTAATAAAGACAGGTTATAAGAAATTGAAATATCAACATTTTATAGCTTGATTCAGAGTTAAAAGGCCTCTCATTTGTATAAGTCTGCTACCAACAGCCATAGCAATCTTTTCAATGCTGCAACACGTAGTACGGAACGTTGGAACCACCTTCCCCCTGGATGTATGCTGGTCTCACCCTACTTCACCAAGGAGATGCTGCATGCAAGCTTGGAGGACCAAGTGAAGAGATGGGAAGTGAAAGTCCCTAAATTTTCAGTCCTGGCTCTGTTGCTGCTGCTTTTTCACTTTTAAAAATAAACTGCTGCTTTGCCTCATAATAGTGGTACACCCTCTGATCATGAGAGAGTAGAAAAGTAGTTAAAGAAGAACCTGTAATATTATTCTAGCAACAAAAACCACTGCTAAAATATGGATTCTTTATGTGTTTGTATGCCCAGGGAGAGATTGGCAGAGAAATGTACATCATCAAACAGGGTGAAGTTCAAGTCCTTGGAGGCCCTGATGGTACCAAAGTCCTGGTTACATTAAGAGCAGGAGCTGTATTTGGGGAGATCAGGTAGGTCCATCACTATTTTTAATACTTTTTTTTAGAACTTGTCAAATAATCATTTGTTGTTTAACTTCTCTGTGGTAAGCATGACAGCTATCAGGAGGTGACAGGCTAGAAAGTGGGTAGGATCAACAAAGAGAACACTGAGCAAGAAGATGCATGTAAGTGAAGGAAAATCTAAGCGAAGCATCAGTGATTAATAGGGTAAGATCTGCAACCAGTGTTTTGATCAATGCACACAGAGATATAGAGACAAATTTCTTCTTTAGCATTTTAAAGATTTACCACATCTCCCTGTTATGCTGTCTGCAATACAGGAGGGCCAAAGGCAATTTATTGTCTGTATAATAAGACTAGGTGCCCTTGAACAGCAGCTAGAAAATATGAAAATTAATTTCAAACAGAATAGATACAAAAATCTAAAACAGCAACTAAAAATAGTTCATTTAAGAGCTGATTAAATTGCTGAAAATCAGACAACGCGGTTTGAAAAAGTATTAGCACACAAGACAAGAAAAAAGTGGATAGACCAGATTTTTTTGTCTGAATTTATCTGGATGAGAATTTTTTCCTGGTGGCTACAAATGCTTTTTATATTCTGCATATACTTTCTATGCAAAATCCATTAACTCTTATGTGCTATGTTCCCCAGTTAGCCAATCAAGAGCTAGTTTTCAGGCACTTCACTCCCCTGCTGGGGCTGGTCCAAGGAAAAATAATAAAATAAATGTGCTGCTCCAAGTGATAAACTGGATCCTTGATTTCTTCCAGCTTCCTTCCTGTTATTGTTAATGCCCTTGCTGGTAGCTTTAATCTGCCTTTTGAAAAACAATAATCAGCTCTGTGCCAGGTTTGCATTCGTCCTCTTGTTGTGTCTCCCTTTGTAGCAGGAGAAACATTCCTCTTTATCCAGTGATGTGCATACAGAGCTTGCTTAGACCTCAAGCATCTGATATATCTCATAGTTACAGAACTTGTTCATTAAATGGGAAAGTGAAATTATATCAGCTCTTTGAGAAGGTTATTTGGAAGGTATTTCTCTGAGTGACAATATAATTACCTGAGCAAAGCCTTCAACCAAAAGACTCTATTATGAGTTATGCAGAAAGACACCAATAAGGGCTGAATAATGAGAAGGCAGAAGGAAAAGATAAAGTAGGCCCCATATGTAACACACACATGGTTTTCAATTATTTATTAGTCTGGTATTTGAAGTGAGAACTTTGTATTTTAAACTGAGAAATGATAACTGTTAGTTTCAAAACAAGGAAGAGAATTTTTCACTTTTGATCTAACACAGGTAAGTGCTTGTTTCCATGTGAGAACCACACAATGACCTTTAAGGATTCATTTCCCAGTACGTGTTACTCTTTACATAATTGCCAATATGACCAGCAAAACCCTCAGCAATGCTGTAACACTAACACTTCTAGTCTTGTTTTATTCATAACTGACCTACTGCAGCAGCAAACCCATTCAGACACGTGTAATTTGCATATAAAATGTCAGGCAGTGGATAAACTCAAGGAGAAAAACCACAGCAACTAGCAGACATGACACATCAAGTGCATCAGTGGAGATATGCTCTTCCTAGTGGCAAGGTGCTAGAAAATAATGAGTTTGTATTGTGCCTTTATATATAAATTTTGTCAAGGTCTTCTGAATAGAGTTTATCAGAGGAAAATGGAAAAAATACTCTTTAATGGATTACATACTACTTTTTTTTAGGACATCCAAGTTTTCCTCTTACTTCATAATGGTTATAATCTGATCTCAGGCTGATTTCCTTCTGATTTCCAATCCAAGATTTGTTTGGAGAAATATGTCAGCTTCCTTCTGAGTGTTTTAGATGCATGATTTATAAGATGCTTGCTATTTAATTTCACTCTGTTTAAAATGCTCGTCAATGATGCTTAAAAGTCTCCAGGAGCAAAGGAATTCAAGAAAATAAAAACTGTTTATTTCCAAAAAATTCCCTGAATTATATTAGAAAGCCAATGCAAGAGTAACAATCAAACATGTCCCTTGCCAATTTTATCCTTGAAAATTATTACAGAAAGGGATTAAGTAATAGGAGTTCCAATTAACATTTTACCCTCATTGCAACTTTCCTGTATAAATAATATCAGTTTGGGGAAGTAAAATAATTTCAGAACCAGAAGTGAACAGATTGTTGCCTTAATGAGAGCCCGTCAGCAAAGACAATTCAGAGCAAGAGAAATTCAGTTATAACAATATTTCAGTAGCCCAGAGAAAGTTATACTTGAAGCCAGATGTCCTCATTCATCCATTTACTGATATTTCACTAGAGCTATTTCCTACCAGAAAATGTTAATTCTGGAAAAACTAAAACATTTCTCCATTTTATGTAAATTTTTGACAGGAAGACCTCTAAATGTGTGATCTTGGCTTCAGCTTTCAGCTGTTTTGTAATTTTAAACTTTATATAAAAAATATAAAAACTACAGGGACTATTTAGTTTTGTGAAAGATGACATTTTCCAGTACTTTGGTCTAGGATTTCCCTTAGAGTAGTTGCTGCTGCTTTTCCATGGGCTCTGCCTTTTGGAGTTTGACATCCTTCTCAGAAACAAGATGCAGACCTATTTCCCATTCCTGACTCACCAGTTCTCCTCATATGCACATAGGTGCCCAGCTGAGCCACCACAACCTTGCATGTTCATCTGATAACACAAGCCATTCCCCAATTTCTATTTACAGCAGCTTCCTACAGAGATCAGCTACAAAAACAAAAGACAAGCTGAGTCATCACTTTGACAAATTTATAGCTTGAAATTGAATTTGCTAGCATAAGAATTCTAAGGTTATCAACTTCTACTAATATTACAGCATTTCAGGCTCACAATTGGAGTAAAAAATGTTAGGTAAAAAAGCAAATTTTGTGATTAATATAGATATTACATTACAAGAACCACTGCAAGGCAAATGTATGTTTTAAAAAAATTGGTCATATAACACTTCATACACTAACCAAACCAGATTGAATGCTGAAATACAAACACTGTCCTTAGTCAAATATGATTCTGTTCGAGCAAAGACTGCCTTACTTGTAAAATTCACCTCACATCATCAACATAATGAAAAATCTGATTTCTTTAGTCCTCATCTACCTTGATAAAATGAGCTTTCTGTTAGGAAGGCCTAAAAATGATTGTTCAATGACTTGTTGAGAAGTGATTCATCAGAGCTCAAAAGGTGTTTGCAATTTTCTTTAGCAGCTTTTCCTATTGCACAAAGAGTTTTATTCTACCTGACAAATTGTACAGAATTGTTTAAAAAGAAGACAATAAACTGCATTTTCAGCTTCAGTTCATGTATTGATTGCTGTCTTGAGTTGCAGAAAAACACTCTGTGGGCAAGTAAAACTAGCCTTGCACACACAGTTACAGAGGTCTCCTACTGTCCTTTATAAATTAAATATATTATCTATATGATTCAATAGTTAGAAATATGTTTTATAAATATATTTAATATTAAAACAAATATTTATATATTCAGGATTATTACCTCAGATGGGTATTACTTCCTATTTACTGGAGTCCCAAACGTATTTTATTAATAACTTTTAAATTTAGATAATACTAAATGTTCTCTAAAACTGTTAATTCACTGGGAAATCTTGAAAGGACAAATTTTGGGGTAGATATTGAATATAGTGTTAGAGCCATTTTAGTACAAAATGCAAATTCTCTTAGCAGCAGACCTGAGAAGTGAAGTATCTTCAATTGCTTAGTGCAAGATGAACAATTTATTTTTATTTGTACATCTAATTTTTTCTTAGATATCCTCCCTCTGGCCAACTGCTGCTAGCTAAACTGGTCTAATGCCTTACCTTCAAAACAAAATAGCCTTCTTTTTCTGGCAGACACATTTGTAACTGTCAGCCTGAAAGACCTTCCTAAACTGTATCATTCAACTTGCCAGCATTTAAACATGAGATGTGCTATGTGACAAAACTGAAAACTAGAACCCCACAGAAGTTATTCACTCAGAAAGAAAATCCTTGGGGAAGCATAATTCATTCACTGTAAATAATTCTGCTCTACTACTGATAAAAATAATTTTCAGCAATAAAACGGAGGAAATGTCAAGTTCACATGAGAAGTAAAACAAGTGCAGTCTGAGCTGTGGGTATCTCTACGTCTCTATGCAGCAAAACTTTTCACAGTCCTTAGCATCTACACGTGCCTGACCAACAGTGGCAGTTTGCCTTCCTGAGAAGGAATTTCTAATCCCATCTGCAGAGGGCCTTCACAGAACTTTGGATAGAACAGCCAGCTCCCTAAGTGAGATTTACAATGACTGAAATGGAGAACCAGCAGCAAAGAGATTCTTCAGTAGGGCAAGTAATGCTCTGACTTATGGTGTTTATTTTCATTCCAGCCTACTAGCTGCAGGTGGAGGAAATCGAAGGACCGCCAATGTGGTGGCTCATGGTTTTGCCAACCTTTTCATTCTGGACAAGAAAACACTCAATGAAATCTTGGTGAACTATCCTGACTCAGAAAAACTTCTCATGAAGAAAGCAAAGTATGTCCTAATAACAGTTTTTAAATCATATAATTTAGCTGCAGGATGGACAGTTGTGACTTCTAGATGATTTGCATTCCTTTCTTGAAATAGTATCAGCTGTAAACACATTTGGAGTTAGAGGTCAGATTCGCCTGGTAGTTTCTAGTTGAAAGCATGAGGTCCTGGAAGGAATCCCAAGGGTTGTGGAAATGTTGTAAGTAGAATGAAATCCTGAATGTAGTTGCCCTTCACATTATTTTTACGGTAGGAAAAAAACCAAAAAAAAAAGAGATAAGGCTACATATCAGGACTCACATCATCAAGAAAGAAACTGCAGGACAGATATCAGTTAAGGAATAGGTTTTCAAAGATGCAACAAAACACTTGCAATTAATTCTACCAAGAAATGCTTCAATGCATCCACAGACTTATACGCATTTCCAAAATCTTAAGCAGCAGGTAGGTGTCACTAAAGGACACAAAAATTATTCACACAAACACTTTTCAATGTTAGAACAGGAAAGAACCAACATTTATTCTCTGACTCCAGTATTTATAGATTCTCAACAATGACCAGGGATTGAATAATTAAGCCACCACCTTCCCAAGCACACTGGTCATGCGAAACGTCAATGAAAAGACATTTCTTAGAAGGAATGTGATAAACAACTTATGTTTGTAGAACTTTCATGGGAAAGTAACTAGAACTATGAAAACATTATCAGAAGGCTTTAGTTTTCAGGGTGACAGGTAGGAATGGATTTGAAGTAAGGCCTAACAAGATAAAGCTACACAGATTAGATACCTGTGCATTTTGTTCAAAAGCATTCCGAAATGGGATTTCAAACCAATACTGCTTTTCACCTTCCTTTGGCTGTAGCTTGCTAGGATCACCACTTTCACAGCTTTGAAAGGGCAAAGTACTGTCAGATTTTGTCATAAAATTATGACAAAATTAGTACCTTGCTGCCTTGTAAAAGGTCCAAACATTTGAAACAGTTTGTCATTATTAGTATACTTCAGCACCCCTATTGATCTCAACTGTTGACTTGAACTCCTATCAAAGGTTGGAAAGCTGGTCCCAGACTTGAAATTCCCCCAGAGAAGACTAAGCATAGCACAGAAGAGACATTTTGTTTCTTGGAAGTGCTAGCAAATGGCTGCCTTCATAGTGTTGTAACAGCCCTGGTAGCCAAATAACAATATCTTGAGAATCATGATGCCCCTAAGGAACAAGGAAACCAGACACAGAATGGCTGACTGCTCAATTTTCAAAACCAGCATTAACAAATAGAAAAGAGGAACAAATGCAAAGACCAATGATCCCCAGCATCAGTCATTCCTGACTTTTCTCCAGCTTCTATCTAAACAGTAGTATGACCTTGTTATTCCTGTCTCTCTGTCTCAGGCTGCCTCTCCTGCTTTCTTGCCCGTATTAGGCATATTCTGCCCATCCATTAAATTCTGCTTCCTCCAGACAGCCTTTCTCAGCCATGGAGCTTAATCATCCACCTTTTGTATCTGCAATCTCATTTGAATTCAAAGGACTCTCTAGGTATCAGACTGAAAACAGGATATCCTGTTTAATTTTAAAGATATGCAGTACCTGCCCTGTGCAGGAGGCCGTGTATTTTGCCTACCAGTCTAGGCATCCACAAATTCTGCCAAAACTAGGCACAAAGAAGAAATTTGTGCACTGTTTTCATAAAGTTTATGGTTATGTTCAGTTTTGGAATCAAGTTACCAGTTGCACTGCCCTGGAAGGTTTACATTAGAGTTCTTTGTGATCATCTGACACCTTTAAAGGGCTCCTTGAAATAAACTGGATTTATTCAAACAAGAAATTTGTTCTATTATCACCTGCCCAACAACAACCCCCATATGTCTTTTGCATAATAAAGCCATGCAAACTGATAAAGTATACTTTTTTTAATTTATGGCAATGAAATTAAAAAAAAAAAACAAACCAAAAAAAACCCAGCTTCACTTCTGAAATTCCCAAAGTACAAGATGCTGGAGAAAATTATAGTATTATGGGATTTACTGTACTTCAGACTAAGAATATAGTCCTCACTCATAAAGAGCTTTAAGTCAGGGCTTTTGTAAGGAGAGAAAAGCGGCCTTGAAAACTGCACAGTAATCTAACAGTAATCTAGCATGGGAACTCTTTGCTTTTTATTGGTCCCATCTATCTCAGATCTTTCATCTGATCTTTACCCTTGTTATTCATTCTCAGTTCTTGTCATTATGGCTGCAAATCAGTACAGCTACAGAACAGTGTAAAAATCTGGTCTGCCACAAGATTGGCACTAGTGTTTACATTATCAAGGTTTCTTCCTCTACTGAAGAGGACCAGAAATAAGCACCACTATCTAACCTGACCTATGAGAGATGAGCCATGCTGAAAGTTAGTTTGGTAAAGTATTTCCTCCACAAGTGCCAACTGGAGTCCCAGTGGAGCACTAAATGCTCTCTGAATTTGCATTCAAAAGGCCACATAAGAGATTTCCACCTCAGGCATGGGGTACCCATCCCCCTCCACACCTCTTCTTTCCTAATAAAACTCTTTAATCTGTTTTGTGACACCTTAACTTGAGCCAGTCCTTGTTTATGCTCCAGGATATAGGTAAGCAACTCCAAATTTGAAGTTTCCTCCATCTCTACCAAGCCTAGGGCAAAACCTTTATTGTTTCAAATTTTGCTCTTGTCATTTGACCTGGGAACCAAGTAAGAGTCACCAGATTTTCATGCATACATGTGGTAGTTCAGCTTTGCAGGAACTTTGCTCGGTTTCCCAGCACTGTTGTGTGTTCTTATCCCCTTCTTTCCAGGGTGCTGCTGAAGCAGAAGGGGAAGCCTGCTCCGGGACCACCAGTGCCACAACCACGGGGCTTGGCCAGTCTCTTTGGGCAGAAACAGGAAACTCCAAAATTGTTTAAAGCAATGCTTGGAGGAAAAGGGAAAGACGGCCTTGCTAAGCTGCTGCAGCTGAAGAAACAACAAGAAACTCAGGTAAAGCCACAGAAAATAGAGTAGAATCTACTGAGAGGGCTTGGGCAAACAGAGTAGATGAAAATTTAGCCTTGCTGCAATCAACAGCAAACTCCCAGCAGCTGAGACTTTTCCTAATCTCTGTAAACACTAATTCTAAAATTTGGCTCAGTCTTTCTAAGCCTGGACTTTAAGCAGACCAGAGAAAACAAAAGCAAGGAAAAAAAGCAAGCAAACAAAAAAACCTCTAAGAAAGTAAGGATAAATGGATTTTACAAAGGCCTCAAGGGCATCTGATCTTCTAATTTTATGTAAACAACAGTAAATACAGAAATACCCAAACACAGTAATCTGATCCAGCTGACTCGGGCACATGGCAAACTTTCCAATTCAGTGTCAGCTCTCAGGTTGTTAAAAATCCAGAAGACAAAATATAAAGTGCAGCCCACACAGCTAAAACTGATTAAATCTCAAATATCTTGCACTTATGAGAAAACCATTGAAACTGATGAAAAATAATTCCCACATTATACTCTGTTCTGAGAAATGTTAATGTTAATAAGAACCTGGTCACTGCTACGTATTTACCCAAAGTTGGCAGAATTCTTTTCTTTATAGCTGAAATAGCTGTGATTATGTTTATGTTAAATAAAGAACTTTGCACTTTGCTCAAGCAAATGACTGCAACAATAAGATTGGAGCAGAAATACTGTTCATTTTAGTGTGTACTTGTGAACTTATTAGCAAATAGGCCTGGCCAAGGAATGGGGGCAGTGTGAAGTATGTCAAGGTCTATGTAACACTCTTTCTTTCTCCACTAGCATAAGTACATAAAGGCAAGATGTAAGGAAGGGTTCCATGCCCCACACTGGGTCTGTTTCATCCTGCTATATTAGTAAGAAGCAGGTATTATGAGTATCCACAAGTGTTTCCTAGGTTTTATACTGATATTCTGATTCTGCAATTGCATTTTTCATTTAGAAACCAATTTTCAGCATCTGAATAGAAATTTACGTGCGTTGCATACCACTAATACAGTTGTCATGCTGTGCCTTTCCATGGCATGTACAGAATAGAACTATTTCCTGAATTTCTTCTGCAGTATTGGAAAACATCAAACTTCTTATTTCTAGGAAGCTAAAGCTGAAACAGAGACCAAGCCTAAAGAAGAGGAGAAGAAACCTGTGGAGCCTGCAGCCCCTTCAGCACCCCCTGCTCAAAAGGAAAAGCCCAAGACAGATGCTAAGCCTGCAGCTATACAGAGAGCAACCAGTAAGGAGTCTCTGATCATCAGTATGACACCATCCCCCAGAGCAGGAGAAGGAGAGATCCTTAAAGTTGAAATTAAAGAGAAAGAGAAGAAATAGAGGGTGCTTTGGGGTGTGGTCCCATCTATTTGTCTTGCTATATTCAGAGGACTGGCCAGACTTTGCTTTTGGGTATAGAATATAAAAGTAGAGACAACGCATGAGAAAAATCTACTCCAGCTCCTCGTCTTCTTGCCCTCCTCTCCTGACACAACTGCATAAATTATTTATATTCTTAACCTTGACACTGAAGAGAGAACTTTTGGTGTATTAGAAATTACGGCTCAGACTGTATTTCACGACCACTTGTTTCTTGTTTTTATCCATGCTCTCCCTTTTTCCTTACTCTGTCTTGTTTCTACTTGTCCTCTTCCCTCTCCTCTTCATCCTTGCTTTCTTACTGCTGTTCCTGTTGCTCAGTCTGCTCTCAACTTTTGTATGTAGTCTTTTCTGTTTTCTCCTCTGCCTTCCTATAGTTATCCTTTTCCTTGCTACTGCCCTACTGTTGTTAAGATTCCTTATGCTCCTCTCTATCCATCTCTCTCCTCCCCTTATATTTCTAATTGGTGACCTGGGTTTGTGACCAGTGGCACAGAGCAGACAGCAGGTGCTGTGTGTTGGGATGTTTTACCTTGGGATAGAGGGCAACAAAACAAAACCATTGTCAAAAAATAAATCCCCAAATCCACCAGAGGGAAGCAGATTACAGAATTACTGCCAGCCCTCTGAAAGCATAAACATCTGCTCCAGCTGTCTTTGACTCTGGCAAATTAACATGGGAAAGACTTAGATAGTTCACCCTTCAGAGGTGACCCGTAACTTTGGGCTGCTGATTCACTTGCTTGGTCTTGTCAAGGGGTTGGGCTCTTCATCTTCTTCATCCCTGAAAAATAAGCACTTGATACAGCTGTCTGAAGAATCTTGGTATCTAAACCAGCTACTTCAAAAATAAAGGCTATTTTATAAAAATAAATAAAAAATATTTTTTTATTTTATAAAAAGTAGGATTTACACTTTCTGGTTCTGCATTGCAACCAATGCTCCAGTTGTTCATCTGCATCATAGACTTTGACTAATGGTGCAAAGAGAAACCTGTGTGTTCCATGTCTTAGCTACATCACACTTGTGAACTACAGTAAATCCTTTATGAGTGCCCCATCTGGGGGATACAGCCTCCCATGCAGGAGCTCCCACACTGCCAACCTTCTGCACCGACTCATCAGTCTCAGATGCAATATTACACAAAAGCTTGAAGCTGTGTTTTAAGGTTAACTCCCAACTACTTTATTTTCTCCCAAGGGTTTGCATATCCTCTCTCTCCCAATCCCCTTTCAGATACCACTGGATGAACAGTTTTGTAAACAAAAAACATTATGCAGAGGCCAAACCAAGAAGTGGCAAGGGCAGACTTCACAGCTCCTTGGCTGACCAACCAACCAAAGGCAGCACCATGCCAAAATGAAACGCTCACTTTCAGGCTATATATGATCCTGCAGGCTATGCATTCTGTAGGCCTGTTCTTTAAAGCCTTTCAACTTCTGTAATCACAGGCAAAACTGGAAGCCTAACCAGAATCAGTGGGAAGTTTGCCCAAGTAAAAGCTGGATGACTGAATTCCATATGTTGCATATTTCACAATCCTTTGACATGACCAAAATTGTAATCTCTCTGAAAGTTCTCTTTCAAACAAAGTTCTGCTGCATTAGCAGTGAGGTGAAGGTTCAACTGCTTTGAGGAGAGAACCATCTCTACTTTTATGCTCCTTGTTATTTGATATGTACAAAAAAAGGACATCATAACAGAGGGAGAAAATTTTAAATTGTTTCATAAATATTAATCTATTGCACATCCAGGACTGTCTCAATAAAATCTCAAGATTAGAAATACTGTGGAACTGTTTCATGAATGAGACCTTCTATGAATAATAATAATCTATGAATTACAATATATAGTTTCACATCCTTTCTTTTTGAGAAAGAGTTGTCAAAACATTATGGAAGGGGGAAAAATATTCCCCATATTTTAACATTTTTACGTGAACGAGTAAAGCTCACTCTCACTGAAAAGAACTGATTCCCTTCTGCCTACACAAACGCTACCAGGTAATTTCCAACGTTTTCTCTGTGGGCATATTTAAGTTCATCAATCACACACTGACATAAATTACAAAGTAAAGGCTGAGACTGCAGCACCAAGTTCTTCACTGCAGTGACAGAGCTTCCCACAAACTGCTGCTTTGCTACAGCTCATAACAGCCCAGGTTTGCAGAAAAGTTTGACAGTTCTGTCTGCAAGATTACTGTTATGCACAGCCCTCGAGTTCCTTAAACCCAAAACAAAATAGGGGAAGTATCAGTGCAGAAGACGGTGGCCACACATAAATAACATCCATCTGATTTTCTGTGATGTCCTACTTTTCCATTATTGTGGTATTTTCCTCTTCCCACAATTCCTCCATTATTAGGGTTGGCAGGTACAAGAAGGCTCCACAAATCCAAGTTGCAATTATTTGTATGGTTTTCACCAGATGGAATGATACAAGAAAGGTAAAGATGGAAGATGTAATAAATTCTTTCGGGAACTAATTCTACCCTGTAGATTCTTGACTAGTGAAGAAGCAGAATTAATTACTCTGGTGCACTTAGAAGATGCAGTTTCCAGTATCACAGTTGTCTCTGTGTGGCATTACGTTCGACTGCAACACTGCCTCCTCTACCTCTTAGTGTCCTTATCAAGCCCCTCAGACTTGGCTACACTTGAATGTAAAGAAACTGAAGGGTAGAGTAGAATAATGTATTTGAAAACTAAAAATAACCATCCCTCTATGCTTCTTTAATGATGTGGATATCATTTTGGGGAAAAAGTTTTGGAAAACCTGACACTAATTGTATGAAATAGCATGCATGGGAGAACTCTAATGTGGCACAAGGCATGAAACAGTCACAGTTAAAGCTGTCCAACTTCAGAATATCTTCTTGCTAGAAGACAGTATAAGATGCTTTATGAAGAATAAACTGCAGAGTCATAACCACTAAGTGGAAAGGCATTTTTCCTCTCCCTTTAATACTTGTTATAAATCCGTGGCATACTCACTTTAGGAAGCACAAAAGCAGCATTTAGCATTGCACATGGCATGCTGAATACAAAAGCACCACAGAACAGTATACTGAAATGATCATTTTAATGCACAGGCATCATAAATCAGCTAACTTCATCAGAACTGAAATACATATAAAAGTACAAAATTCTGGTTACAGGTGAGCTCTCTGCTGTACATATGTATATGTTATGACCAATACATGGCAAAAAGCATCTTATGACAATGACTGCCATACATCACTTTTATCACAAGGTGGTGCCAGTGACCTATGAGCATATTCACTTTACAAAACTTGGACAATATTTTGCTTTTTCACCCTATTAATGCATTTTTTACATGTAAAAATAAACAAAAAAAATAGCAAAACGACACGGTAACTCCCCTTCTCCTTTACTCACCATCTGCTGAATTTCTTCACTAAGAATATCACTTCAGCTAACCCTGGAAGTTTTCAACAGCCATTAGCTGTACACCTCTAAGTTATACCAGTTCTTGCCACGGTCCTGTTTGAAACATTTAATTTACAAAGAACAGGGCACATTGAGAACGAGGTGTTGTTGATATGCTATTTAACTCCCAAATCTTGAGGAACATGGGAGCAATTCTCTAATAAGAGATAATGAAGAAATTCAGAATTAATGTATAGAATACAGACAAAACAACAGGTTTTCTTTTACATGCAGCAGATACTCAGTATAATAATACATACTAACACATTTAAATGCACTTCCATGGCAACTAAAAACAGAATTGGTAACACAACTCAGGTGCAGCATTATCTTTTTGGCAGACAGCTCAGAGGAACTTCAGTAGTATCCCGTACTCCTATCAGTAGTACTCATCCACTACAATTAACGTAGACAAAGCATTAATACTGCATCCAGTTCTCCCCATAAGTGAAGAAGGTAGCTGTGAAACAGTTAACTCTTCCAAAATCATACACTCTCAATTTGCAGCAGTGTGATTTACGTTTATTATGGTAACTTCCTTGATCTCAATATTTTGAATTGCATAACTGACATGATATGACACTTCATTGTAATTTATACATTAAGTTACAGATTTTCACTACAATGATAAAAAGATGATTACAGATTTTTTTACATAAATATATGAATTACATTTTAAAAAAAGAACGAGCTTGGCTTAACGTGAAGCAAACTCTCTTCCTTAGCATTCCACTACTTGATAGCATTTAGGATCCCCTTCCACCAGGAAAAATGGAGTGGAGATAATATATCCATTAATGATTGATTGATAAATGTCAACTGTCTACAAAGCATTTGGTATGTCTTGTGTAAGATAACCTCAATAATTATATCTTTCATCCATCAACCTTGATGTGAATTCAGACTTTCGACAGGATTATACAGTAAAAAAAAAATTTCACAAAAACAAATAAACAAACAAACAATAAAAACAAACAACAAACAAACAAAAAAAACCCAAAAAAAACCCCACCCCAAAAACCAAACAAACTAAAAGCACACTAAGCAGCAAATACACTATGACCTGGTGAAATCTTGAGTGTCCAAGTGTACTAAACTTAGCATTAGCCCATTCTGTTCTTACATACTACAGCCAGATCATCCACATGAGTTAAGTTGGATGTCTGACTCTAAACCACTTCAAATGTGAAGCTGCAAACTTAATGTTCAAGACTGGCATTCCAGAAGTGACAAATGTGACCTTTCAATCCACTTATGTTACACACAGTGACAAGATCAGAAGAGATGCTCAGCAAGCAGTATGCAGCTGGGGGTCAAGAAACCTTCATTTGTCCACTAAGCAAACACATGATTTATACTTGGCATAAAAAGTGAAGGGAAAACTCAACCCAAGTAAATAAACCAGAAATTGTCGAAATGAGAAATGAGAAATTGAGAAATGCAGTATGATTATAGGATTAGGGCTTGAGACACTTGACTTTCTTCCTCTTTGAGAAAGAGGGATTAGTTTTT